CCGAAGTTGAACGGAGTCATGGAGGTAGGCCTAGGCCCACTGGGGCTGTAGTGCCAAGGAAAGAAAAAAATTATGCATGTACATGTACAGAACTCTTCTTCTGAAAGTATATTTTTTAGTACAGTAATGAAAACGGAACGGTAAAAAAGAACACAGAGCTGCAAACACACAGTGCATCTGCAGATGTGCGATTCTTTTTTACAAGTGTGCCGGTGCGCAGTAATTATTTCTCGGCACGCGTACCGGTTTGTACTACCTGAAAAGGCACTCTATATATAATATTTCTTATGACGTAATAATTATTTTTATTCGTGTTATTTCTGTTCTTGTGTTCTATATCGTGTGGTTGTGAATGATTTTGCCGATGAATTGAGACATATGTTGTAGGAAGATGGAGAAAATTTATTACTTCTGAAACGTCGGCAACACTGGTCACAATCGCAACGTGTAACAACCAAAGAACAGAATTAACATAATCATTAACCACCGTGAAATTCTAAAATCAGTAACTAATTTTATCCAGCCTTTAACTCTAAAGAAATTTTGTTAAGAGGCCACGATATTTACAGAACAACAACACAGGTCATGTGAGCATCATGAAATCCCGGTTTCTGACGCTACATAATTGGAATAAATAATATATTACGAGAAGCACAGGAATCGTTACTATTAACGTTAACATTTATGTAATTCTGTGATCAGTGGCGTCCAATAAAGTTTCCGATTACAGCTTCACGTAGTATCGGATCTCAACAGACCGCCTGGTTCGTGTTTGCGTTTCATACCTGAAAGCAGATCAACCGATATTTACTATGTACACGCATTTAATAAGGATTTTAATGAAATGTTAAGTTAAATACATGTATAACTGTGCGTGCAGATAGAGGTAAATGTAATGACTGCTTATCCACCAAAACCAACATAATTATTCTAATATTTTGTAACTACAATTAAATATGTAATATCAGAAAACATGTTACGTACTTCAAAATTATTTTCAAAGTAGGAAAAACATCCTAATAGTGAAAAATATGTGAAATATTACTAGTCATATTGTTTTCATGTTTTACGAAAGAAAGTTCGACTCTAAGGTAAAAAGAATTTACAGACCGACGTAAGACCGACTGACGTAAGATTTCCTCATTGGAACCCTTGCCGAGTCGGACTCGCGAGCCAGACACGTACGTGTATGGGCCCCTTTAGCATACGCTCACAGAATGAAGGAGTTTGCAACTGAGCCGAGTGACATCTGTAGCCCAGAAGATAGTACTAAGATCAAAAGTTGTCTCTGTCATGGACTCAGTTCAAGCATAACAAGAAATCGTAACAAGCCTCCGAACGATATCTGCAGAGAACAGGCTTTTCATTAACTTATCGGTCATTATCAGTTCCGTTTTCAGAGTAATGAAGTATCATTTATTTACTTATTTATTGGTCTGTATAACGAGCGGACGTCAAAACTCAAAGTTCAGGCTAAAGTTCATATTCTGGATTTACAAGCCTGCTGGTTACTGGAAACTTACTTGATTTGTGACAGCATACTAGTGCATGTTAGTGCTTGAATTACTGTGGTGACGCTGAAATTGGATAAAACGTAACAGGTAAATAGGCATACTGATATGCACTGCATTGCTACATCTAGCAATACCCACTAACGCTTCTTGGAGTTTGTTTTCTGGTTAGGGTAGTCTCAGAGTTAACAGAAATCATATTATGAACCTCTCGTCCAGGAAACGTAGGGTATAGTTGAAACTGTGACAAAACCGCTTTTGTCCACTCTCTTTCGATTCAGATAACAACATATCGATCGACACTAGTAACCTGAGCTATTGAAAGCATTGAAGAATACCATCTTCTTGGATGCGACGCCGTGTAGATCGTGTGTAAACCGACGTTTCGGAGAGACTTAGGAGACTCGGCGATCGAGAAACCAGGGTGAGGAAGTGCCTAGAGACATTGTGTGAACCGACGCTTCGGAGAGACGTATCGCCTCCATCTTCAGGGTAGAAAACTCGGCGATCGAGAAACCAACGTGAGCAAGTGACTGCAGCATTGTGTGGACCGACGCTTCGAAGGAACGTATTTCCTCCATCTTCAGGGTAGAAAAATCCACAATCGAGGAAGCAGCGTGAGCAGGTGGCTGCAACCACCTTTTCACGCTTGTTCCTCGCTCGCGGATTTCTCTACCATGAAGATGGAGTCGATACGTTCCTTCAAAACGTCGGTTCACACTAGATCTACGTGGTGCTACATCCCAGAAGACGGCATTTTTCATAGACACGGCTGTGAAAACCTTAAATCTTACATACTGAAAGCACAGTTAAATACACCAAAAATATAGATATATAAATTTTATCGCAAATATTTTTGAGGCCTCTTCGTCATAAATTGATACAGATCACTGCATTATTATTAGAAATTTCCAGGTTCTGTTTCAACACGCAGTGGGAACCAAAACCACTATACCCCAGGTCTCGTTAAACTCAACAGTACTTTCCTTCAGTTAGGTTAAACGAAACGCATGATGATAAATTTACAATAATCATAATTTATGATAAATTTACGGGCACAGGAAGGTATACAAAGAGGAACAAATTGAAAATAGCAACCGAACAAATAAATGGACAGAAATAGTCCGCACCATTTAAGTCTTGTGATAGCTTTGGTTCAGTGCTCCTGAGAAAAATTTGAGAGAGTTTTATAGAGAAATCAACTCAGTTCCGCTCTATGTGCTCGAGATAGAGAGAGAATAGAACTTTTATCATGAACTTCCAAAATTCAAAACAATCACATTGTATGGAAGATATCAAGAACAGAAAGAAAGACAGTAACAAGCGAAGAGAAAGCGAAATAAACGGAAATATGGTGAATCCGCAACAGAGTTTGACCTGATTTGACAGCTGTCTAGTAGGTTAATACTTCTAACATCTTTTTTCTTTCAAATTGAGATCCATATTCGTGATATGTATTAATTTTTGTTCCTAAACAAGTAAAAAAAAAAATATACAGATAGCATCCTGGTCGAATATTCTAACGGCGTTGTTTACGTCACACGTGACCTTTGAAGCAAGATGCTGCCACAAGAATTTATTCGCGCATGATACTACAGGCCTGCAATATTTGCCCAAGTGACACAAATATATCTCTACAGTTCAGCGCACATGATTCCTTGAGAGCCTTTCCCGGTCTAAATCAATTCTTATGGAATACATTTTTTTGGAATTTGGAATTTTCCTATTCCTTCCTCCTGACACTTCTCTTCATACCTCTTTGTTTCCACGTTCTTCACCTCCTCTCCCCCATTCCCTTTTCTCCTCTATTTGTTCATCATAATCTACTCCTTCCTTACATTTTCCCTTCCCTACACCTGCTACATAGTTTGTTCTCCATCCTCTGGATCTTCCTTTTAGTGTTTTCCTTTCACTATTTATATTCCTCTCCTTTCTGGCCTCTAGTCCCTTCCTTATGCTCATTTTCTCTTTCACCCTTTACGTCCTTCTCCGTCTTCATCTTCCAAATGGCCTTTATTTAATTTTTGTTTCCCCTTTTCAGTAACTCCTGAGCTATGATACCATACAATCTAATATAGACCTACCAATGGTCAATCAATCCAATCACGGTTTCACCTCTGTCACGCTACCTAATGCGAGAGCTATAGATATGTCAAAACTTCTCCCAAAGTTATCAACAATAAAGATGGCATCCGAAAAGTCTGCTGAAACGTTCAAAACTCTCACCATTCGACGCAGCCTAATCCTGAAAGCTGAAGTCACACAACAAACTCCAACCACTCAAATCTAGGGGCTAGATGTTACCACCTAGAACCTAGAAAGGTGGAAGAAATGTGTGAAGGCTCAGATTGAGATAACTGAAGATGTTGAGTATGATTCACGAGAGCTGAAAACGAAAAGTAAAAAAGGAAAATTACAGAAATATGGGCATTTGCTGCAAATAAGGCCAAGATTCTTACAGGGTCATAGAGCCAAGAAGTAAATACGTATATTATATCTGAAACAGTTTATAGTGTCGTCATGAGGCAATGACCTCATTATAAAGTTACTAAATTATATTTTAAATATACCAAGGAGACCAAAATTTCCATACTGAAGGTCTTATTCTATATTCAGGAATTTTTCTTCCTGAAAGTTGCCTTCTGAAAGCAAGAGGCACCATACGAAATATTTCAGACAGACCATAGATGCAACAACCCTGTAAAGAAAGGGTTCTCTGTCTTTCAGGGTTACGTTTCTAGTGCAATTATGTTTCGGTCAAGAACGGCTCGTGTATTCGGACATGGCCAAATGTTCTTTCGTGGAGCTCTCGAGGCACTTCCGTTGAAATCGACGCGGCGTCCATCAGGCATCATCTTACTCAGCGGCGTCAGACATCTGTCATCCCATCCGCTCTTCGCGCCTCATAAGGTAAGCGTTGAAACTTCTGGCAGATGGCCACAGCAGAACACCAGGAAGTATAACATTACCAGCTGATCTGTTTCGGAGTTCCCAGAGCGTAAATCACACTCATTATAGAAAGCACAGTACATTGAGAATATATAATATTGATTTCAATGATGTTAATACATTGTAGGGAACTAACTAATCTGTTATAATGTAAATATTATTGGCTATTTGCAAATTAAAAAAAAAGTTTTCTCTTGGAAAATAAAAATTAAAAAACTTAAGTTAGATTTATATTATGTTATACAGATTGGGGGCACGCGGTAGCGTAGTTCAAGGTACTATGCTAAAAACCGGAAGGTCGCAGGTTCGAGTCCCAATGAGGTGGATTCTTTTCAATTTACCTAACCCTTCCAGCCGCACTATTACCCTGGGGTCAACTCAGCCTCTAACAGAAATGAATACCAGGAATCTTCCTAGGGATAAAGGGTGGCCGGCACGTAAGGCTGACAACCTCACCGGCATCTGTTACCCGATTGTCTAGAAAATGTGAGAGCCTCGACGTCTCACAACCCTATGGGCCTTCAAGACCTGTTACAGGGACAAATTTTATATTAGACAGATTCATTGGCGGAGTGATGATCCTTTCCCTGACTCCTTACATATCTCGCCTCTATCATTATCTTTATTTTGTCACCATATAAATATCTGACGAAGGATACGAATGATGCAGGTGTGCATTACCGCTGTGTTAGTTCCTCCATATTCCCGTTACTTCGTCCCCCTGGAGCTAAATATTATTCTCAGAATATTTTACTAGTACGCCGTCAATGTTATCCTGTCAGGAAGAGAGACAAATTTGCACACCCGAACAAAACAAGTAAAATTAGAATTTTATCCATGATATGTAAGCAGTGTCCGTCTTTTAGTGCACTCAATTTCACTTGTTATTTCACAACATGTTTTGGCACCATAGTGCCATCATCAGGTGCTCCATTTACGTTAATCTATTTCATTGCTTGCCATTATGTAATTGTAAAATTTAAAAAGTATAAAAAAATGTTCAATTATAATAAATACTATAATAATAAATACTAAAAATTTGTTAAGATTATTTATCTTATCTGTCCCAATTCTAACACCGCGCATAGTTCCACTACTATGGGAGTCGTTCCTCTTACTCTCGGTGTATATCGTGTCTCATGTTGTGTGTTCCCTGTTTGGTTGCGGGTGTTGATTACAACATTTTACAACATTTTTAAATACTTTTTAAATTTTACAATGACATAATGGCAAGCAATGAAAAAGATTAATGTAAATGGAGCACCTGATGATGGCACTATAGTGCCGAAACATGTTGTGAAATAACAAGTGAAATTGAGTGCACTAAAAGACGGACACTGCTTTCATATCTTGGACGAAAATCAGTGCAACAGGACGCTAAAATACAACATTAGAATTTTATCGCTGTTGTTATAAAATTATATTAAATGTACTGAACAGATTCTTGCAGCGGTAACACTCTAGACTTGTACTCAGGAGGTGTTAAGTTCGAATCCCGGCCGGTACACGAGCTATCCTAATTGAGACTCTTCGTGGATTTCCTAAATCCCTCCAGGAAAATGCCGGATTGGGCGGCGATTAGGCCGCTACCAGTTCCTTCCAGATCCATTCAAATTCGTCATTTAAATAATATTATAATTTGTTGCTATAGAATTTATACATTGTGAGTGTCGTAAGAAGAACGCAAACCTGCATCAAATTTTCAGATGAAATTTTTCTATAATTAACCGCATTATTTCAGGCGTCACACGTTTCCACAAGAACACAAAAGTAGTCTAAACTGCGTTGTAATAAGTGTTCATCGAATTTAATATGATAAACAGAAATTAACAGCTATGGGGTTTCATTGCGCTGACCACGCAACACCTTCTATCTGCTAAAGTTGACACTAACTTCGCTGACAAGCGGCGGTCGCTCGGTCGGTATAGTTCGTTTGCGGACTAAAGCCAAGGGTATATATATAGTATATTAAATTCTGATAGCAGTTTACGGTAACCAAGCCGTCTAAGGCATGTACTATCTTCGCTCGCTCTGAAGCTGAGATCGTGAGTTCGAATCCCACACAAGGCACGGATATTTAGTATGTGTATGTGTTTATTCTGTGTTTGTGTTGTCCTGTGTTTAGGTAGAGGCGTTGCGGGGAACTGGTCACTCGTCTAATGAGTCCTACCGTCTGCAAAATGATAAAAATATATAAATAACCTTGACGCCGTAAAGGCATAAGAGGAACGGATAAAGTGAAATGTAAAGTAATTAAATTTGAAAAAATAACAATTCTGATACAAATATTACTAATTTAATTAATTATATAAATTTCGGGTTCATTATACGCAGCAAGGAGCACAAATACCTTTGTGTTTAATTTTCAATTACCAATTCAGAAATTAATGGGAGCCTTATAACGAGACTGATATCCCGTATAGCGCCCTAACGATCCGTTCGTTCCTGTGTTATCAAACGAGCCTGTATTTGGCTTCCTCTAGAGATAACAGCCTGGGATGAGTTGGCAGTATGACCGATTGAACTGCATGATCCAGTGCAAAGGACTGGGAAAATTTGTTTGTGGCTTAGTCCAACGTATTATCCTCACGATTACCAGAGGAGTCTGAAGAGAAATGTTCAAAGCTACGAGAATAGTATGAACCACGACCAAGATACAAAGCGGCTACCTCCCGAACACAAGGCAAAACATTACCATTTGACTCAACTCTGTTGGGAATCTACATTACAACTGGAGTGATCAAAGGAAACTTTAACAATGTAATCGATGTACGTACAGTAATCCTGCTTCATATTCAGGAGACATTTTGTTCAGAACTCGGCCCGGAGGACAGCTGACCTGACCAGGGTCAGTGAAATGTCAGTTGGAGCTTGTGCAAGTCACAAATATGGGAGCCCCATCCTATTCCGAAAGTCATATAAACATATTTTAGTAAGCAGACCCGTTGCTAGGCAATGACTGCGGTATTAGCAATTATACGGCAACATTCAGTGAGTTATGGCTTCCCAAACAAACATTTTTTCATGGAACCATCTGAACTACAGCAAGGTATAGCGGTGTTTTCTACGCGGTCCGTGTAAAGGGGTTATAAGCGGGACAAAGTTTAGAGCTTCCAAGGCGCACACCGGCCCGCGATTTGCAAACAGCTTTCAACCTATGAAGAATACAGTATTCTGCCATGTGGCGTCGTGTAGATCCTGTGTGAACCGACGTTTCGGAGGAACATATCGCCTCCATCTTCAGGGTACAAAAATCAGGGAGCGACGAACCAACTTGAGGAGGTGGCTGCAGTCTGTGGTAACCAATATAATGAACCCCATGAATGAAAGTTCAACTAAAACTTAATAGCATTTTGTTTATAGAAAATCCTGTAAATTCGTCGTGTAGTAAATTGGAATATCTCTTTCATACCATAGCACATAAAAATATATCCAATGTTTTATAAGAACAATCATCATAGAACAAAGCTTTTTTCAAAATCTTGTGCTTTTTATTTGAACTTCTGAAGTTGTGTTTCGCTAAGATATGAGCGCACGTCGTCAGGACTTCTCTTCTGTTACACGTGCGTGAGCTTCAGCATGCTACTAGTAGACAGGAATTTGAGGTTGATAAAACTTAAGAAGTTCTGTTGACCTGCTGGCCACAGAAGCCTGCAGGTTTAGGGAGCTGAAATTCCTGACATTCACTCGCTTTACGTCGGGTGAAGGACTCTGAGACTAAAGTTGCTTGATGGATTTCCTTCAGTAGAATTAAAATTCTTCAGTGGAACATTACAGAACATTCAGCAGCACCGCGATCATTACAGAAACACAGATGTTGCAAAGTCGGGAATGTTACGTTTCTACGTGTACAATCTTAAGTATTCCTCAGTATCTCGTATTTCTCACCGACTCCTCCATGTCGTTCTCAGTGCATTATTTTACGCAAAAAAATCAGTATTTCTGTAACGTGTCTTCAAATGTGGAAATTTAATCACTTCACATGTTTCACTGTGCTTATGCGTTACTCATTATTCTGAATATATTTCATGTCAATTTTATACGTTGTATTTACTTTCTCTATTAATACATTTTCATAGTAACACCTATTTTCTATTTTCGAAAATAAACAGGTTTAACTAGAAGGTCTCTTATGGAAACCGCAACTCATACCACGTTCATATGAACCCGGTACTATATTCTAACGTGAGCCAGTTTAATCCAGTCTGTACTCTCTCATTCTACTTATTTCAGATTAATTTTAAAATTAACTTTCATTTCCGCCAAGATTTCCACTGAAATTGTTTACGTTATTCTTCAACTTCTGTCTTCATAAATCACCTATCCTAAAGCATTTCTCAGCCACTTCCATGCTCTCTGCTTCTGACTAGAAGACGCAGCAACTTGGAGAGCCGAGTCCAGAGGGCGGCTGGTGACAAAGAGTGGGAGAACAGCTGTAGATGCGGTCTAGACAGCTGGCAGATGAAGTGAGGGACACACTGCCAGTCTTTAGTATTCAGTCAAACGGTATCTTCATCTGTTTGTGACAAATATGGTTCTCTCACGTGTCCAGAACTTCATACAGCATACGTGACACGCTGATGACACTCTCTCTCGGTAAAAAATTATCAACTGGCCCGACTCAACTGTGACGTCTCTTAAACGTTACATAATTTCAACAATGTATTATTCCTGTTGATTACATGTACGGGTATACACAGTACTATCTTCTGGGATATAAAGCTGTGAAGTGCGGTAGGTTCTACGAGAAAATAATAATGTTCATGGTCATCACTGCAAGAAACTATTATAAAACAGGAGGATACAGTGTTTTACAAAGAAACACCGTAAATATATATAATTCCAAACGTAAACGAAGAAATATATTTACGTCTACAATTTGAACAATTGTTTTATTTATTTATACAAAATTTCGTAATTTTAAAGTTGAAGATACAAGTTTCATGTTTGCAAATTACACA